GAAAATTGCAGCTGATCATCATAGTCATTTCGCCCTTGATTCTGATTCAGATGAATACAGGGCTTTTCATGATGAGCGTTAATTAGCCGTTTCTCTGACAAACTGTTCAAGGGATCAACCTGAAAATTTCACAGTATGCATAAATCAATATGACCTACACGCTTCTGATATAAAGTAGCGGCTTCTTTGATTTTTCAAATGGAACACCCCGTATATAATATCATATTATGATTCATTAATACTTTGTCAACAAATTCATATAAATTAATTTCGATATTTTTTTACCAAACATGAACTTTTATAAATCTTGAACTCTCTTGCACTAAAACGATCAAATTTGAAATGGAGTGGAAAAAAAAAAGTTATTTCGGTATTCAGATTAAATTTCTTCACCTCTCTTTCAAACATAGGAGAACTGTTGATATTGGTAATATTTGGTATAAGCGTGGTCCGGTATATGTTGCGTTTTATGTCCTATATTTTTGTCACATCGTGGTGCATTTAAAGAGTTTTCCTTTTTCGTAGTATTATGCATGAGTGAATGATTGGTTCTATTTTGATGTTTCTTTTTTTTAAATTACTCAGTATGCAATTACAAAAAGTTGTCGATTATCCCCATACACTTGCTTCTTAAAAAAGGCCTCATTTGGGTGAGTTTTTTTTATTGAATATAATTTTCAGTATCCATTTCAGTATGACATTTAGATTCTTAAGATAACAATCATTCACTCCTCCCCAACCTATTATACCATAGGATAGTTGTGATTGTATAAGTGCAAAGTACAATGTTTTCAAATGCTAAATGCCAAAGAAAGTTTTTCAGGCGATTGACTTAGAAAGTGTACCTATATCTATACCTAGATATTTCATTGACTCGCCTTCAGGCATGTGATTATTATTTCCTATATTTAAGTATCCCATATTGGGTAATGTAGTGCAATATCATGTGAAGGGTAGATATTTGGTTTTTCCGAAATTGATAGTGAGTTTATTGTGACAGAACCATGTTTCAATCTCAATAAAATCCTTTTCTGCAGAGGCTTTCAATTGGTTCCATGAAGAGTCGGTATACAAGACAGCCGTATCTTCAGCAAGGCTCAAAACTGTAACTTTTGTTGGTATCTGTAGGAGCTCATTTAGATATATTGTGAACAGAACTGGTCCTAGAACCGTTCCTTGTGGAACACCATAAGTAACAGTTTTGGGATAACTCATAATTACATCGATACTGACTCTCTGTTCTCGGTCACATGAATAGCTTTCAAAAATTTCGTAAGCTTTCCTGCGTATTCCAAAGTTGATTTGAATTTCCTAGTAAAATTCACTGATCTCATTTTTATAATTTTCTCTATCACTTGGGCTATGTCTGAGATTAGTGATACAGGCCTATAGTTACTCACTATTGTTTTGTCTCCACTTTGTGAAAGTGATTTTATCATTCCAATTTTGAATATTTTGGGAAAGCAGCCTTCCTGTAAATATTTGTTGATAAGGTGAGTTGATATTAAATACTCCCAGCTGATAAAGGTAATGCCACAGTGATAATGGATACTGGCGACTATGAAATCAAATTATCGCAGTTGATTTCGAGCATAACATACCGAACACATAATATAACAATTGAATAGAACTGGCCGATACTTGATGATAGAGTTTATTCTATGATTTTCACTATAAGGGTTTTACAAAAACCGCGACACGTGTTCCGCTATACAAAAACTTTGCATAACTGTAACAGTTATGCTTGAAGAAGCTTAGCATAACTGTAACAGTTATGCTTGAAGAAGCTATTATATAGCGAAACACGTGTCGCGGTTTTTGTAAAACCCTTATAGTGAAAAACCTAACATATAATGTTCTTTATATTTCCTTGATTATATTGATTCACTTCATTTGCATTTTATAAAAATTCTGGCATTCGTTGAAGGTACATTAACTGCATGTATTTATCTCCAATAAAATGAGAAACAAAATTCATACCTACCAACTCAAACATGCTTATGGACTTATAGACTAAAATGAGAGACCGATATTGAAGGTTAATGTAACTTAAACTGGGTAAATAACATTTCAAATCAGATGTTATTTTGTGTTAAATGTAAGAAAATCACAGAGTTGCTGATGGCATTATTTTCTTTAAAAACTGAGAATAAGCGATTGTCCTTCGTTTCCTCTTCTCAAGTTTTCATTTCTTGAGAGTGTTCGAGTGTACTATAGAACAGTGAATATGGAATTCGTCTTATTTCGAAAATGAAAATGAGTGTTAAGAAGAAATTGACAATCTCAATAAATGAAAAATTATCTAAGTACGAAGAATGAAATATTATTACTATCATACAAAATATTATTCCGATATCTTGAGCAGTTGATGTTGACGTATAGTTGAATATCCGGAGAAACTACCTGTTGAAAAAATGAAACTTGACTAAGTGATGACAATTGCATTCTATATTACTACTTGCAAATCACAAGAATTTTCAGCACCCGAAATATTTTTGATAGTTTACTTATAGTCTCGTCAAGATTTTTTCTAGTTTATTGCGATCAAATATACCTGTATATATAACCTCTTTTATGTCTCCTCTCCTTCAGAGTTTAATAATTTTTGGCACTCGAAATAATTCGAGTACTTAACTTGAAGTCGTGCCAGACATTATTTTTTCCTCAACTATTACGGCCAAACGAATTGTTTTGACCTGGTATATATAACCTGTTATATGGTTTTCTTTTTGTTAAATACAAGAATTTTTGTCATTCCTAATATTTTGGGTAGATTACCGAAAATGACTTCATGTTGAGCATTGTATTGAAAAAATAGTCCCATCCCTGCGTCAGAAAGTGTGGTCTGGAAACTGTGGCTCACTTCACATTGATATACTCAACTAGAAATAATTTGATTTATCCATAAATGCTTTTCATCTATGATCGACTGCCTCACATTCATATAAAACATAACAAAATGTCTACTCTGAAATTAGACTGCTCTGTTGAAACAGCGCTTTAGTTTTTTCTCAGAAAATTGCTCTATGAAGGTTTTTCTGACTATTTTCCGAGTACTTTTCATATTTTGACCCATTTTCTGAAATGGTTTCACACTGTCTATTTTGACTAATTCAGGGTCCATATTATCATTGGATATATAAGTACGTGCGTCTGGCAATCATCAATATTATCTCAGCTTTGTTGGATCCTGCATAAATGTTGATTTCTTTCCAATTGAGAGTTGTATAGGTCTAAGTCGTTCTATTTTAAACCTTTCGATAAATGAATGATTTGGAAAAGCTTATGTTTCAACCTCCAATAGTAAATGATTAATTTGGAAAAGCTCATGTTTTTACCTTCTTCTTTGGTTCATCTTCTTCTTAAGATATTCAGAACTTGTTGCATACCTACTCTCAATATATTTTTGCAATTTTGTTGGTCTAGAAAGTTTGAGTCGTATGCATTCTCAAGTACTTTATATTTATTATGGTTTAGAAGACGTTGTAACTCGTCCAATACTGAATCTATCAAATTGGGGTCCATATCGGTGCCTGAGGTCAGACCCTTGCAATCTATGCCATTACTGTTTTCCCCATAATGGTCGTTTATACTAATTGTTGTATATTTTGTACCGGCGATATTTTTCTTCTCAACGAGGATGATTAATTCTAATAATATATGCAAGCATATTCTATTTTTTCGTGACACGAAATGAAGAAGTTTCCGTTGACAAATTTGACATGTATGCGTTTTGGTATCGATGCAGTTTACTCTTACCAACTGATTTTTCCAATGTGTTAATAAAAATGACATTAACGTCTTTACTGAGTTCTGCCTTACTATCCCAGATTTCAGAACTGAGGTAACCACAATCAAATATACACTGTTTCAGTTAATATATATGTGAATATTGATGATCCAACTGTTAAAAGACCATATATCATATCTATGGTTTTTCAACACAATATTTTGTAACCTTTATTCTTAAAATAACTGTTCACTGTTCTAGAACAGTGATAAGGACATTCATTTGTTGATTTTTCATACAAGATATATTCATCAGTGGTAAAAATAGCCTCAATAAAAAATAAAACATACTTTAGTGACTCTATGAACCCATATATTCATTATTAGGTAAATGAACAATAATAGTTAAAATTTTCGAAAGACAACAATTTTCCAATCACTTTTACTTTTTTTGAGTGACAGCACAAATTTAGTAGAGTGAATGGTCTTATTTGAAGAGTTTTTTAATTTCCGCATAGTTCAATAAAGTGCGATACAATGATATTGAATCGACAGTTACTGGAGTTGTATATATCCAAATTTGGCGATAAACGGGTGAAAATGTTCATTAGATACATCCATTTTGTCAGCATCTAACCTGATATTCTCTATAGTAGAAGTTTGCTCTTTGACTCCGACTACATCCTGGATTGTCTTTCGAAAACTTTCTGTGCTTTCAGGAATCTTACTTCGGCCTGCAAACTAACAATGGCAGCTTTCAGACAATTACTGTCATTCCCTATTCCATCGCACTTTGCGCAAGTCTACTTGAAGCATTTCTTTGCATTATTCGATCTGAAAGACTTCTGACAAACGCAACATTTTACCAGTAGGTGAGGCTCACTAGCTTTCCATACGCTACTGAGTTTTTATTTCAATGACGATTAATATTTATCAGGTAATTTGTTCTACTTAAAATATGCACTGTTTACGTTCTGAGTATCTATGAAACTGTGAAATTTCCAATAATTAAATAATCCAAAATACTTCTGATCCGAATACAGACATCACGAGCATCAAAAAGTACGTCCACTGACTTCGAACGTCTACACAGTCTAACTGAGGCTAACTTAGAGAATTGTAGGCTAGAAAGCTTACGGCCTGAAGCCTTCCCGACAAATGTGACTAATACACACAAAACAATGGAATCCAAATGTCCAAATGATAAAATTCAATAACTTTATTATACTGATACATAAGTATATAATTATTAGAAAAATTCACTTACTAACCTCATATGGAATATGGAACTCTTGAACCAAATTGCACTCCATGAACATTCTTATCGTCGCTTTACAGGTATCATCATCGGATAACTCGAAATCGATGAAAGTGAAGCTATATAAATTATAGAAACTCGCTGAGGGAATGTCCTCTTTCCGGAGCTTCTCCGTAGCTTCGTTGCTTGCAGTTGCATGGTATGAGAGACATTCTAAAGCCACTTTTTGTTTTGCCATAAGTTTACATGCATTTTCGTACATCTGAGTATTATGGATGCCCAGACCACAGAAAATTGCAAAGGCTTCGAATAGAGAAACGTCATACTCCGTGAACGGTACATAGTTTTCTTTGTTGATCAATTGAGCCACGCCTAGACAATGTAAAAAAATCTGTTAGTAAGGGAATAATATCATTTTAAAAAAAATATTGAGTATCAATTGCTCAATTTTATATTGAGAAATTATATTACTTATTTGTATCCAAGATAAGGAGGGTCAGAATAGGGAAATCTAAACCCGCGATAGACACACAATCGGTTAAATTGGGGACAACTTGATAATTTCAGAGTTGATTTGGATGACGTTTTGAATTTAAGTAAATTTCGATTATGTGATATTTTTTCCGGTCAATATAAAAGGTAAAAATGATTTCTCGGCCACTAAATGCCCGATTGAAAATCTGTAAAAATCATCTACTATTTATAGCTTCGAATGGGAAATGAAAAGGAAGAAGATTTTATGGTAATAATGAAAGAAAGAATGAACGTGAAAGAAACAGAGTATATCATACAGGAATTGGACAACATGACTTTCAAACATTTGTCATAGGAGAAAGTGAGGCAAACGATAATTGATTTAGACCAGTTTATACCCAAATCCCTTGTCTTCTTCTTTTTTTTTTCTTCGTTAGGAGAAATACTAGATGATGAATATGTCTGTATACTCCATAATTCTAATTCGAAAGTTCCCCAACTAGTTAGTTAGAATTACGTTACTATGGTTTTCAATTAGACAGAAGAACATATTTACGTTTTATTCACCTCATATTAACCAATGTGGGAGAAAGTCTGAGTAGTTTAGACGTAAAAAAATTAGAATATTAGGATAGTTCAAGCAAAAATTCGGATTATTGCTTTGATTATTATCAAAAATTAAGTAACTCCTTACCTTCATGTAACATTTTATGTATACTACCTTAGCTCAACCTCTTATGATTTCTTTATCAAACGAAGTGATGCTATAGGGCCATAGAGTGATACCATTAGATTTGAAATGACATGCATGTGCTCTTTCCTCAACGAAATTATCCTTATATGATAGTGTTTCTACGTTCATAAAAATTATGGGCTCTCATTACTATCTGATTTAATAGAAAAATTATGGAATTAATTGCACATGATTTTAAAATGTTTTAAAAATCATTCCAGAAATCACGTTCTAGCCAGGAGAAAGGCCTTGCATGACATATTCACTCATTTTACAATAATCATTCATCAAGCTATCGCCAAATTGTTGATATGAAATCGTTTACTACTTGCTGAAAATAACATTTCGTAAAAAATGTGGATATTATCATCACTGAAGAAAATGTAAGCGAAGGGAGAGTCATAAATATTCATCAACATTCTCTATTTCTTGAACCTTTTATTTCAGAACAACTACTCTCTCCTTTGAGAAACAAACTCAAAAACAAACTAAAAACAATAAAATATTACGTAGAATTAGCGAAAAGTAATATAAATCACATTACTATGAAACATATATTTTATTAGTTCGGACTTCCATTGTCTACTATGATATAAATTGATTTGAAATACCGAAAAAAATCTGTAAAAAATTGAAAAAGAGATTAGCTGAAAGAAAACAATTATATCAAGCAAAAAACTGAAATTACAATGAGATAAAATACAAAACAACAACCATAAAATTGAAAAATTAAACTATTAACAAGAAATGAAAATTAAAAATTGAAAGATTCCAAACCAAGTTACTTCACGACAAATAAAAAACAAATAAACAGAAAAATCACAAAAGCAGTTCAAACTGCTTGTACGTGATATAATGACACATCCGGGTAAAGTCATATTTGGGTTTTTTGATAAGTAACATGTTGGGTAAATTTCACACTTTGGTAAATGACATGATGAGATATTTCGGAACAAACTCATTGATATCCTGGAGAATTTCTTGTCCAAAATAAGTGTTTTGAGTTGAATCTTCAGAAAATCAATGAGTTTGTTCCGAAATATCAATTATATTTTGATGTTTTGTGATTTGATATTATTGAATATTAAGTTCTTGTTACAATACTGTATAATCTAAAGTAATTTTCGGTGTTAACAAAAAATAAAAATAACTGCACCTAAAACTTCGAAAATTAATTTACTTCTCAAAAAAATTGACCGTGGTTAACACAATGGTTGTGTAATTTGTAATATTACCTGCTTCTAAAATGAACCGTCGTATACACAATGCTGTCTATTTATCATTTTAGCAAATTTCGTAGTCCCCATTTAAAAAAAATTGGTAAACAATAAAACTTCACTTAGATGGTCATGACTTCAAATCTGAATTTATTTTCCAATGCAGAACAACTTTTTCAAATAACATTTCCCGAAATTTTTCAAAATAAGAGTACTTTACTCCTGTCACAAAATCAAATATTTGAAGGCTCCTCGTAAATTACGTGTGTTGTCCTGTATTTGGTGGTGCATAATAAGTTTTAGGGGATGCACAAACTTTTATCAATTGAAATTTTTTGTCGAAAAACCCTTTACAAATAAGTTTCCCATATGGTGCATACTTTGGGGACGACACTGTATATCCTTTTTCTTATAATCATTTATATGTTTTCATTAATATATGTGTGTTATATACATGTATTATATATGTCTGATAGAAAATGAAGATTATCATCATTATCATTATCATTAGTGATACTCGTCCCAACTTTTGCCACTTATCAGTTCCTTGTGATGCACTGTTTGGAACCTTTGGTGTTTTATCCCAACACCAAACCGTTATTTCAACACCTCGACACTTGTTTCGCTTACAAAGATTATACTGGTTTGATCTTTATCTTGAAGATGATCACATGGAGATACTCCAGTAATATTCACCTATCAGTTAGTTGATACTTTGAGGTTCAATATTCGAGGCAAATACCACTACATTTTGTTTCTTCGAAGGCGCGTCGGTATCTGCTATATTCAATAGTTGTTGGTTTGTCGGATTTCATATTGTTACGTTTTTTCCCATAGGTTTACCAATAATTGACTACATTGAACAATAATCAAACTTAAGTTTACTTCACATCAAATACAACTATTATTCGAATATCTATCGCCTTACTAGATCGCTCCGCGTACCGCACTGTTACTTCCACTCGACTATCCCGATAGGCACCGAACACAATTGGTTTATGACTGCCAGTGGCGGCTGGGTTTATTTTTTTAGGGCATGATTTAGAATAATCCCCTTTTCTCTGAGATTGTTTGCCCCGAATAACATTTCAAGAGGGGACATCACGACCCATGTAAGGACACAGCCTCTCTATATGGAATACTCAAGGCTTGCTTCTGGGTGACAATTGGATTCTCTACACCAGATCGTTTATCCTTTTGGTTACCAAGGAAGGTCCTTGCCATGGTCTCTACAATTTGGGACACAAACCTTTCCGAAGTTGGGGTTGGTAGAGCCACACCGCATTGCCTCCTTGAAGGTCACCGGCAGCGGCTTTTTGTTAAATCTTATCTTCATCTCTTTTCTGGAAGGCTGTAATTTGGTTCTGGCAAATTAGTGTACAATTTCCAGTCTCTCCTTCAGGTCATCCATATACTCTGAAAGAGGTACCTCTTGAAAATCCTCAGATAGGCTGCCGCACAATACATCTATCAGAAGTTTCAGTTTTCGATCAGTTAGCAACATGGATGGTGTCATGTTGGGAGCTCCTGTATGCCAACAGAAAGAGTTGAACCAACTCATACCAGTTTCTTTGGTTTTCGGAGACAAACATAGAAATGTAGTTATTTATGGTACGATATGCCTCTCGACCATTCCATCGGACTCTGGGTGAAGAGCAGTTGTTCTTGTCTTCTTCATTTTCAACAAAGTCATCATTTCCTTTCATGAATCCGATTTGAAGTTGCGGCCCCGATCCAAGTGTAGTTCCTGGTGTAGCCCGTATGTGACAATTACGTTCTGCAATAGGACTTCTGCCACCATTTTAGTCTCTTGGTTGTGTAAGGACTTTTGGAAAAGTAGTCCATCACAACCATCAGGTACTTGTTACCGGATGTGATCATAGATAGTGGTCCCAGAATGTCAACTTCAATTCTTTCGGAGGGGCACCTACTCAGGTATTGTTCAGCTTTCCTCTATGCCTTGTTTTCGGAACTCTTCTCGAAGAGCACAGGTCACAGCACTTACATCACTCTTCCACGTCTTGACGGCAATTGACCCAATAGTACCTCTTGAACACTCTCGTTAGTGTTCTATCTACTTTGAAATGCCTTCCGGTGCGACCATGGTGAAGCTGTTAAAGGATATTCGGGATAATCGTCACTTGAAGGATTATCTGGAATTTGTGGCTTCTTCCATTCAGGCTTTCTCATTTCCGAGTGAGTAGGTCATCTCGAATGCACATGGAGTCTCTGGAGTTAGTAACCCTTTTCCTGCTGGCCGTACTTGGAGACCACTTGTCATTTTGGCTTCACTTCTTTGTCAATTAATTCTCGTACAGTTTTGAAGACCAAATTCTACTTCTGCGCTACCATGATATCTCGCCTCGCCATGAAAGTAGTTGTGTCTCTCAGAGGCTGTTGATGACCGTGTCACACTATGCTCAGGTGATTCCTCAAATTTTTTGTCCGTATACCCGGACGAGGGACTCTTACATAAGTTTTTCTTCTGGTAGCTGGGAATCTTTATCTTCCTGGCGTTGGCAAAATTTGCATCTGGATATCAGACATGGTCTTCTTGAGAGGCTATCTGCGTTTCCGTGACTCTTTTATTTCCGATGTTGAATTTTGAAGTCGTATGTTTGTAACTTTTCGATCCACCTAGCAATTTGTCCCTCAGGGGTTTTGAAGTTGAAGAGCCACCGAAGTGCTGAGTAGTTTGACCTGATCAAAAATATATGGCCATATAAAAATGGAGTCGTAGTGAAACAGCTGAATGACGACTTCTTCTCTCTCTTGTACCTGAGAGGGTACTGCTCCTATTCCATGTTGGGGTGCATCAGTGTCCAGTATAAACAGGCCCTGTTCCTATGGGTATGCCAGGATCGGAGCGCTGGTCAAATGCTTGCTAGTAGTCTGGGGAACAAGCGAAGGGGATTCTCATCTTGGTTAAGCTATACAGCGGTTTAGAAATTTCCCCAAAGTCTTTCACGAAACACCGTCAATAGCTACAGAGTCCTATGACATTTCTTACGTTGTGCTTGCTCTCCGGTGATGGCCATTCTTGCACTGCCTTGATTTTCTCTGAATCCGTTCTTTTTGAAGTCACAATGTGTCCCAAGAAATTCACCTGGAAAATGCAGCACTTCTGGGGATTGATCTGCAAATGAGAATTTCGTAACCCCGTGTAAATACTCCTCACGTTTGACTGATGTCAGTCAAAATTTTTTCCAGTAACTATAATGTCATCAAGAAGGACCAAGCTTGTTTTCCAGGTGAGTCATCTCAACATCAACTCCATCAAGCGTTCAAATGTTACGAGTGCATTGCATAATCTGAACGGCATAAACTTAAACTGGTATAATCTATTGTCGGTAGAAAAAGCAGTCTCCTCGTCATCCTCGAGGCGAACGGCCACTTGCCAATATCCGCTTTTCAGATTGAGAACCATCTGCATTCAGCCAAGATGTTTAGGGTGTCATCTATTATGGGGAGAGGCTAAGTTTTCTGGTGACATCATTAAGCCTCCTATAGCCTACTAAAAATCTCATCATCCATCCTCCTTAGTCACCATCACAACAGGGGCTATTTGATTTCTCGAATACTTCTTTCTTCAACATATCCTTAATAATGGATGCTGCTTCGTCTTGCTTCACGAAGGGAAGTTGGCGTATCGGCTTGGCATCAGCAATATCGATCCGATGTTGAACTAAATTCATTCGACCAATGATTTCACCCTTCACAAATATATAGTTTGATTCATATACGAATCAGGTGGCCTTGTATAGTCCTTCTTCAGACAGATGGCTCCACGTCTTCTTGAAAGAGTCGGAGAGTTTTTTTGCGGGTTGTTGAGTACGCTGTAGATGGACTTCTTTTTTGATTCTCATGATTCTCTCAATCGGTTCGCAGGTGCCTATTACCTGCCCTTTCTTGAGAGTTACCCTGTTATTTTTGGGGTTGATTATTTTCACTCGAATGATCTGATTGTGACCATTTATGAAGCATCTGGTCACGAACATTTCTACTTCAGAGTCATTAGATGACTCCATAAATGCTGTGTCCAAGCTATCAAGTCCAGAAATTTCCGCTTGAATGATTTTCTCGAAGTCTTTCAGTATCATCACCTTGGCGATGTCATAAGGCTGAGAGGGCACGTTGAATAGAATTTCCTCATTTCCGACGTTCAACAGTTTGTTTCTTATGTCCATCACGAATCCGTAGGGGGACATGATGTCTAGTCCTAAAATGGATTCGTCGACGATGTTGGCCACTAATACCTTGGTTTCTATCTCGCAATTTTCAAGCATTAGTTTCACTTCACCTCATCCGTCATCTATCTCCAGTGGCTGTTTTCAGAACAGGTACTACTGATAACCGCTTCAAACTGCTTCTATTGGAAATGTCGGCTCTCATTACTGACCTCGTTTCACCAATATCAATGGTAAAAAGGCACTGGTGATTATTCAGAAACTCATCGACAATTGAGCTGTTACTGCTGTATTTTATCGTGGAAATCGAATACCTGGGGGCTTGGGATGCATCAGCCAATGTACTTCTCTTAACGCAGGCTGAATTTGGGTTATCCAAATCCCAACGCTCCAGTCAATAGTTCGCTTTGCAGACTTTCCACTGACTGAAAATTTTTCACTTTCAGAAAGTAATTTCCAGATAGAATTGCATTTCATCAAACAAATTGCAACGGTTACAAAGTTGATATTATCGACTTAATTCTTTTCAAAAAACTGCGGAAACATGCCATTCAATAGGTCTATTCCACTCCAAGAAACAATAAAAGTCTTGGTTGAATCCATTACATACCTACTACTTATGATTTTTTCGAAGATATGTAAGGAAGTTCATTGGATATATGAATGATAATGAAATTGTTAATTTTTTTTTATATCATGGGCACAAAAATGTACTTCTACACGAAACGTTAGCTGTTTTGGAAAATCTGAGCGTTAAAATTTAATATTTTTGAGGCGGAATTATTAAATACATGTTACTGACTAGTTGAACTCTTAAGTGGTACATATTATGCAGTAACTTTTGAATTTTTCAGTTTGCACTTTGTAATACTAGTAGATTCTGCATTGATCTTTATTTATCTACTTTTCAAGGCTAAAGGCTAAAACCCCAGAAACATCATTTCTACGAAAATGTATTCCAGAGTATAATTGTTATATGAAGTGATAATCTGAGTTCTATGATTTCGAGAGAATGTTACATCTACTCTTTTTCATGCAATATAATAACTATAATGAAAACATAGCTCACCTATCAGTGAACGTTGCCCATTTATGATAGGCATACACAGAATAGTCCGTGCAGACTCTGCATCTCCTTCGCTGTGTTTTTCTTTCAGCCAAGACTTCACATCTCCGATATTAAGGATTTGTCCAGTCGATGCAGCATACCCTGCTATCTGGGCCAAAGTGGAACTGGCCAAGTCGAAGGAAGATGGTCTGGAGTAACGAATACATTAGACAATTTATTTCGCACCAATAAAATGATGAAATAATTGAAGGCTAAGCCATTAAAACAGAGCTTAACAGCGACAAAAGGCTTGTTCTCTGAAGCGATGAAACTGACAGCCATGAAATTACCATCTTGAATTCTTAAATCATACGTGATTTTCGGACCCTAGTTATGTATCATTCTCATAATTTTAGTCCCTGTCCTAATCAAATTGAACCGATGTAATCGAATATAATTGTAACTGAATGTTGTTGTGATGAATTGTAAAAGTAATAATACGTACTGAGAAATATTACAAACAATACTCGTATGCTAACAAGCAGGATGTCAAAATATTAAACACAGTTTTTTTCGACTTAAGACTCACCGGCGCGGCGGGGCAGGTTGTACTTCTTTATCTTTATTGTTCAAAATATTGCACAATCATCAACATCGTTTTCACATGACTCAGTTTATAGTACCATATTAGTTATTGTGCAATAATATTGAACGCAATGGATATTTCGCAATAATATATTGTCAAATTACTGTGTTATCATGTGACATCTCATTTAGTTTTCTTATCGAAAGGTCCCGATATATTGATTTATAATTTATTTCATACTTTGACATTGCATCAAAGAGCTCAACTCTAAATTTTTGGGATTTTTCAGGGATGGTAATTGACTAGTAAAAATTCAGCCGAGAGTGATTTTATCGGGAAAAGAAGTTATATTGTCCTGTATTTGCTTCAATACTTTTTTCCGCTTTCTGAGAAGAGATGTTCGTTACCTAGAAACGAGAGTTTGTTTTCCATATTCTCTCAGTTCAAAGACGGTTGTAAAGAGAGTCGGCATCCTCAATCCATTCTCCCGCATATCTTCCGCTGTTACAGTTCCACTCTCTGCTCGGTGTAAAGGACCGTGTCGTTGTATGATCTTTCCCGGTCTTTCAACGATTCGTTCTAAATGATTCTAAAACAAAATCACTACATTACAATCAACAAACAATTGAAGTGAAAGAGAAATCTGTCAGAAGTGCATATCGGGAAGAAGTAAGTGAAATGAATTTTCATATCATCATATTGTATAATTGTTTGGAAATAGTTGAAACTAGTAGATCAGATATGGGACTTCCATGCCGTATTTCCTAGGGGACGTCGCTACGTTAGTGAGTGGAAAAGAGACGTGTGCGACGTAATTGATGCATAGAAGAATATAATGAGTATCGGAGAGATTCAGTTGAGAGATAACAACGCGGTTGAATTATAAAAATAATGGTATAATAATAATAATGAATGAAAATTCGGATTGAAGAAAAAACCAAAGCGACATTCAGTGCAGCTCTGAAGAAAAAAAAATGGCTGCCAACGTAAAAGAAAAAAAAAAACATAGCTGACATCGGGGTTTACAGGGTGTCTTAAAAATACATCATTCGAGAAAAACATGCCAGTTTAACGGGACTCTATCGTTTCAACCTGCGATTCTTCAGTGTCTACAGGGTGTCTAAAAATATGTCATTCGGGAAAAAACATGGCAGTTTGACAGGGCTGTAACGTGTGATAATTCAATGTCTACAGGGTGTCTCAAAATACGCCATTTAAAAAACATGGCAGTTTAACGAGGCTCTATCGTTTTAACGTGTAATTTTCCAATATGTACAGGGTGTATAAAAATAAACCATTTGAGAAAAAACATGTTTAACGGGGACCTAACGTTTCAACGTGCGATCTCAATGAGAAACGTTCGAAAATAGGGCAATGGAGAAACAGTGTTCAGCAATGACATTTCAAAATACGTTACATGCATTTTTTCGTTTTCGTGTTCGAATGCATGTCATTTGCCAAAATACATCATTGAAAAAACATGACGTCACTGTGTACAAAGTGTGACAAAATATATCATTTGAGAAAAAACATGACAGTTCGACGGGGCTCTGACTTCTCAACATGCGATTTCTCAATGCATACAGAGTGTCTCAAAATATGTCATTTGAGAAAAAAACATGGCAGTTCAACAGGAGAGTAGCGCTTCAACGTGCTATCCCAACGAGAAATGTGTGAACATGTTAGTTTAAGGGAGGTATAGCATTTCAACGTGCGATCTTGATGAGAAACGTATTCATATTCAAATGTGTTGCGGAGTTAACGTTCGGAAATATGTTACTTTATATGTGTTTCGACCGTTTTGGCAGCCAAGTTTTTTTCTTCAACGCTGCACTGAATGCTGCCATATTTTTTTTTCTTTAATACGATTTTTCATTCATTATTATTATACCATCATTTTTATAATTCAACCGCTTTGTTATCTCTCAACTGAATCTCTCCGATATTCATTCTATTCTTCTATGCATCGATTACGTCTCACACGTCTCTTTATCACTCACTAACGTAGCGACGTCTCCTGGGGAATACGCCATGGAAGTCCCATATCTGATCTGCTGAAACTAGATATCGATCAAGGCTGACGTTTCAATGGGTAACGTTTAACCGCATGCATGCTGACAGCGGACGATGGAAATACATGTTTAAAATAAACTGGTTCCTGTGCAAGATAGTTACGAACAAAAAGTTCTGACTGTTTGTCTGCCTTGTTTGTCTCATTTTGAAATGTTTTATGTGGGAAAATTTGTTTCATAACTGAATTTGCTTCCAGGTGATGGAGCTCCAGGTGACATCATCGTACCTGAATCGGTCACTCATGACAGCAACATCATTCCCTTCCTTTGTCCATTCAGATGTAGAAAATCAAGAGATTTCCCGAGGAAGAAAGCGACCAAGGAACTTTAAAAACTGGAAAATTCACTAGAGTAAGTTGAATCGTAACAGCGGTAAAGATTATCTCGCAATAATAAGGTAACGGATGCAAAGAAATTTTCCTATGGATATGACTGTAATTGCCTCAAAAAGTGCATTGAGAAGTTTTCTTCTGGAGATGCATTGAAATATTTTTTCAATGCATTTCGGAAACTGGCAGATTACTCAGTTGAGACCTCAACTGTCAGTATGCTTCGGACAAGAGACGGATCAGGAGAAGCAAAATCAAAGCTGTATCAGTACGTTATTCCAGATGAGGGCATACAAGCCCTCAGCTTTTATGCCCTCTCTTTCCATATTACAAAGAAGTAGGGGATGTTTGAATGAACTGAAGTTGCTGTTGTTAATGACGCAAGGGGAAAAGCATCGTCGCGTAAAATTGACGACTCAGATGTTGTTGGGCATATAAAGTCATTTCCCTGCTAGCAAAGTCACTACACAAGAAAGAACAATCAGAAAAGATACTTGTTATACACTGTTTGGAACCTTTGGTGTAGTAATGAATATTACTGTGATTTTCCAACAAAAGCAATCTGATGAAGAGAGTCAGCGCGATGTGTTACAGGATGTTGTTGAAAATCCAGAGATATCCACTCAGTAGTTGTTTACAGCTGATTCTCGGCCTCCCCCCACCACTATGACGTATTAATTGCTTTTTTTTATTGGTTGTTGTTTGGTGAAGTTTAGGTGATGTGACCTTGAAGGGTGTGGTGTATGGATCGTTCAGAATTTTTTTCCCGGTTCTAATCCTCCCCCCACCAATATGACGTGTTATTTGCTTTTTTTGTTGTGCAGTGAAGTCAAGGCGTTGTGACCTTGAAGTGTCTGGTGCATGGATCGTTCAGATTTTTTTTTCATATGAGATTTTGTGTGTTTATGTGTGTGTGTGTGTGT